GGCAGAAGTGGGAACGGGAAAATAATTCTTTGCCCGTGAACCAGAGGCGCCCGATACCTCAGAGGCCCGACATCGCCATCAATCATTCAGAATGGAATGCAGTAGCATGGGAAGAAAGTCAGGTATCCTGTGATTTAAATGTTTCCTTAATCATGTGAGTCTTCCATTCAGCAAATATAATGTCCTTAAACCAGATTTTTGTCGAACCGATAAAATTCAAGTAAATTTTATTCGGTTTGATTAATCATCGAGTGGACTTTAGGCAGAGTTACCTGAATCGTTAAACGTTTCCGTATTTGTCTTTATGGAGTAACATACTTCGATTAGTTGAATGAGTCATTCCACTATGTTTGTCACGGCTGACGACTGTCTCTCCCGAACGGTGATGTAACATTATCACATGACTTTCTGCAATCTGATCGTAATATAATTAAATACATGAAGTCATGGATTGTCAAAAATGCATAGTATCGAAATGGTTGTTTATTTACATACTTAATTCATTTACGTATATTTTGGATTTATTTATACTTTATATTCATTCATTTATTTTATGTTTATTTATCAATTTTTCTTCCCTTGTAAGAATTAGTATTAATAGATGCAAAATTGCAAATTCCATGTTAATTTAAAGTATGCAAATGTTTTTATGAACAAACATGCTTCCTACTGATTAAATCGATTATAGTAAACGTAATAGTGGAATGGCTCGTTAAGGTTTACCCTTGCACATTTCTTATGCATACGTAGAAACAGAAATACAAGTGTATTCAGCGGAATCCGTATGTAAAGTCTCTGGTTCCACACAGGGAGTATGTCACGCACTGTAATATCCCAGTCCTATCGTGTTCAAGGTGCTGCCCTAGATTTATCACGGGCTTGGTTGTTTAAGAGCAACGGCATGATTAATCTAAAAACTAAGAACCGCATTGCGACTCGTTAAGTTCAAAATTTCGTTAAAAAGAACTTTTCCTCTCTGAAAGTTCTCGTGTTGACTGACGTGTTAATCATAGAGAACACTGAATGGAAGCACGGGACAAGATAATGATGACAAATTGTATTTCAGGCACAATTGATTCCCTGCTCGAAATGTGGAAGAACATTTCTACCAGAACGGCTGACAGTCCATCAGAAAAGTTGTAAAGGTTCTATAAAGGTGAAAGTGCTTATCCAGTCTTAACTCTTTAATAGGATGTTTGTTACATATCCTTTAAACTGTAGAATACCGAGCCAGAGAAAGCAGAAAGCTTCCTTAGTGAAAAGTCTCCCGGTACGTCACGAGTAGGACCTCCTATGCTTACTTGTCAATCATGTGGCAGAAACTTCGGCACGAAGAGTATAAAAATACACGAGCCTCAATGCATCAAGCGAATGCAAATAGAAAAGGAAAAGCAATCGTCTCAGCCTCGAAAGAAGGATTCGATCCGGCAACAAAAGTCAGAAATGATGAACGTGCAAGAAAATCTAAGCAGCCCAACGGGGGTGAGTCGTGTCGGAAGGCATGCTTATATTATCCAATTTGCATAAGCGTTCCCACGCGATCATCCACGAGTGGTGTTCTATTGTACCAGTTAAATTTTATGTACAAACTTTTTATATCGATTGTTATGAATAAAAATTGTGTCGCTTTACACTTAAGTGTTATTAAATCTGCGAAGATAATCAACGAAATAGTTATTTGGAGAAAATTGGTTTTAGGATAATGTGCAGAAGAAGACGGTCACATGCTACATATGTGGTAGAGATTTCGGATCTACTAGCATAGCCATTCACGAACCACAATGCTTGAAAAAATGGCACGTGGAGAATCAAAAATTATCGCCAGGTCAAAGAAGAAAAGAGCCAGAGAGACCTGAAATTATTTACGCTCGTGAGTCAAATATCTTATCATATTTGCATGTCTTTATAGTTACGTTCATTTTTTAAATGCAGCAACTTCAATTGGCGGGAAAAATGCACTTTGGTTTAATTGATGTCAAGAGTTGAACAACCCCCGTAATCGATTCACCTGAATGCTTTTATTCGGAGCACAGGTGCATGGATCTTTTTTCATTTTTAATTCGTATCGAATCAGTAGTTTTTATAGTAGTCTTTAATAGTTAGTGATTATTGTGCGTGAAAATTAAATATCAGTTGCATGACCCGCGCCTTACCAATGAACTTAAGGTCAGTGTAACTATATCGATTAGAGGGAGACACGATTAGAGTCAGGAAGTCACAAAGTCGAGCTTTATCAAATATTGCAAATGCTCCTTGTGCCATTGGTTCATCACGCAAAGCGAAGGGTTGATCTGCAATTGATAATTATTATGTAGAATTGATAAAAGTAATATTCTTTTCCATTGCATGCGCGAATAATGAATGCAATAATTTATTATTTTTAATTTACGATGGTAATTTGTATCAAGGTAACTTAGAAACGGGAGATATAACAGTTGACTTGGATGCAATGGCTGAGGCCAGTTGGAAATCTCACTTAAGTCAATTGGTCCCGTGTAAACAATGTGGAAGGACTTTCAATCCTGACCGTGTAAGCGTCCACGAGCGAAGTTGTAAGGTCTCATGCTCCTACCACAAGCAGCCAGCAGCAACCAACAGCAACCACAAGCAATGATCTTCTTAGAATAAATGATTATACAATACCTACAATAGAAAATGAGATTATTTATTGCAAAATAATTATATAAAATGTAGTTAGAAAGAGTTTCAATAAGTCAGATTAGTTCAACAGCACTTTAAAATCTTGCTATTTATGTTCTTTTTGTTACCTAATCTCATAAAAAATCAAACACTGAATTCGGGAAATGGATAAAAACACAAAATTTAAAAATTTAAATACGCAAAATTTAAAAATGAATTGTATAAAAAAAAGATCGCGAAATAACCTTTGAAAATCCTAAGAAATGATGCCAAGTTTCAAGAACTAGTTCAAGATAGTGTCACCTTCTATAAGGTTATATTCTCCTGATTCAAAATTGAGATTTTGACGAATAAATTTTTCGAGAATCTGAAGATTTCAACTTTGAACAATTCCTGAAGTATGATATCATTTCCAAGAATCGGCAAAATTATGCCATCTCCTAGTAATAGAAAATGTCAGTTTTAGAACAGTCTTGCAATATGAAGTTATTTTCAAGAATCAGTGAACTTGTATCATCTCCTATGCTATCATGTTCTCCTCGTACAAAATCACTATTTTGGCCGACAAATTGCTCGTTCGAACGCCAAATTTTTAACTCTCGGATTTTGTCAGAAAATGACGTCATTTCCAGGAATTGGTTGCAAATACATTTTATGTTATTTTATTTTTTTAATATTTACCAATACTTATCAATTTTCTTGAACTGTTTCGTTATTTTTTGTAATTTATTCCTTAAAGGAATCGAAATTGAAAAAAATTTAAGGATTGTGAATGTCGGATGGATTTGAAATAATTAAACGCTTTATTCATTTGCAAAATAAAATATTTATTCAATTCAATATGAAAGTTTACAACAATTATATAATTTTTAACGAATTCATAATTTTCTGTATAACAAATTGTGTGAATTGTGTGATTGATACGACACCACGTCGTAGATACATTTATTACCATTTGTGAGACCATTTTATACGTGTCAGATTATGTTTATTGTTCTATATGTATTTCTTCTATTAATCATTCAATATCCATTTTTTATCAATCTAACCTAATTTAATTTAATTTTTTTAATCAGAATTATAATATTAATAAACGAGCATTTCCTTTCAACCTATACTTTTTACTTAAAATTTCAAAAACTTTTTACAGATTAAAAACACTCTGTATATATCTTCATTCCAGATATTAGGTCATTTACGATCATTTTACAACACATTTACGGCATTTACAATTTACGAACAAACTACATTTAACATATTTCTGGTAATTATGTAATTTTAGAATAATTTAAACAACTCTTATACGAAAATGACGATCAAATACTTATAAATGCTCGTTCTACGACATGGCGCAGTGTTTTGCCGCTCGTTTTCGAATCACCATTAAGCGCATGTTTTCGTTCAACTCTGTAAGGCTCAGTAGGTACAAATTACGGTCCTGTGCATAATCGTGATCTCGCGTATATCAGTATATGACCGCAATCCCGTATATACAACCGAACATACAAACACATTTCCTCTCTCACTATGCATACATTATGGACATAGTAATAATAGTAAAAATATCCCTATGTTCATATGTATCGTGGTTTCTTCCTTCAAACATATTGAGGGGGGGGGGGGGAAGA